GTATTTTTTCTCTCTCTAACCTCGATTTGTGCTTGACGAGAACTTGGTCCAAACTGCCTTCACTACTCTCAGCTTTACTCTTGGGTTTTATTATCCTCATTTCCTCATCCCCACAAAAACTCAGCTTTTCCTTTTCCAGCTTCGACACGTGCTTTTTTACCAAAACTTTATCAAGACTCTCGCCATAACTCGAAAAGTCTCCTTTACGACAAACCTTAGAGCCCATGTCCTTATTTTCGGTTTTGTTCGTGTCCACATTCTCTTTCCCATTTTTCTCTGTCGAAAAAGATGCAGTCTTTTCGCCATTCTTTTCTTCCTCAACTTCTCTCTCGAGCCTTGTTAGGTGTTTGACGAGATACTTATCCAAGCTGGGAAGAACTTCACTGAAATCTTGGTTCACACGCGGGCCCCTTTGAATCTTCCTGTTGTCGCCTGTTTTTGCTCCTTCAACCTCTTTCTCGAGCTTCGAGGCATGTTTCACAAGAACACTTCCTAAATCTGGAACCTTTTCATCACTGCTTATAATTAATTTCTTTTCATCTTCAGCTTTTTTTCGGGCGTTCTTCGCTTCCAGCACATCCCTTTCGAGCCTCGTCAGCCGCTTAACAAGAAATTTGTCTAAACTAGGAATTTCAGCATCAGACGAAGAAGAAAAACTCCTCCTCCCACCTAATGACATTCTGCTTTGGGCCTTAAGACGAGAATTCTCGGCATTCTCAGTGGAAGAAGAAGAAGAAGAGCTTGACAAAGAATACCTTTTGCTGCTATTATTATTAATATTTCCCTTCTCAGACAAAGCTGCATTTAGACCCCTGGTAGCAACTATGGTAGCCAGAGAAGAAAGTTCTTCCTCTTTTAAGCAACGAAGCCTATCGAGCATCATGTACACAATAATACCCGATTCACAATATAAATGTGGGATCGATTAAAATAATTTTTTTTTTTAATTTAGTCATTAACTAATTAAGTTTAACTATAAGAAACCTTATTAAATGTGAGATTAGTGAATAATTAATTACAAAAATGTAACTTCTTTTGGTGAGAAAGTGAAAATATTTTTATTAAATGTTTTATTAAATGGGATTAGCTAGTAATTATATATATAGATACTGTACTTAACATAAATGTTGGATTAATTAAAATAAATCTTTTTAATTTAGTCATTAACTAATTAAATTTAACTATAAGAAACCTTCTTAAATGTGAGAATAATGAGTAATTAATTAAAAAAAATATAACTCCTTTTGGAGGGAAAGTGAAAATATTTTTATAAATGTTTTATTAAATGGGATTAACTAGCAATTATATACTAGTGTATATTCTGTGCGATGCACGGAAGAGTTTATATTTTAAATATTTTTTTAGACTTTATTTTAAATATAATTATTTATATTTTTCACATCTCGTCTATTATGAAAATAAAATAAATACAATCAATGACAATATATATTATTAAATACTTCTCTTTATATAATATTTTTTATTTAAGGAATATTATTAAACCTTACAGTTTTGATTTTTTTTTAAATCAATAATCTAAAATATATAATTGTTAACGTACAAAAAATAATGAAAATAATCCAGACTTTAAAGTAAAGTTATTTTTTATTCAAATAAAAATCTTCCAATTTTTTTTTAATTTCAAAAAAAATTTGGCAAGTTTGATAATGAGTTAAATCAAGTTATACAAATGATTAAATAGTTAAAATGTTATATTAATTAAATTTTAAGAAATCCAATTATATAAAAATGGGTAAAAAAATATTATACTAATTAGTTTGTTAGGATTGTGATTATATGGAAGTTAAAATAAAATGAAATATAACCAAAAAATTTGTTCGTGGTCTTTTCCTTTAAATGTTTGAATTTAAAAATCTAGTAACCAAATTTACATTATATCACGTAAGGAAAATAGTAAATATTTATTAAAGAGATAAATCAATAATATTTATCACTTAGATAATAAATAATAAATATTTACATGTAAAAAAATAAATAATAATATATTTAAAAATATAAGTCAGAATTTCAAATAAAGTAAAAGGAGGGATAACTCATTTTTTAAAAAAAAGTTTCTAAATATTTAATATATTGATAAGTATCTCCATAAGAATAATCATACCATTTTAATTTTAAAAAAATTGGCAAGTTTGTTAGAGAGATAAATCCGGTTAGACAAATGATTAATTTGTTAAGATATTATATTAATTGTATCATAAAAAATCGGTTAGATAATGTAGATAAAAAAATATAATATTAATTTGTTTGTTAGAAATGTGATAATGAAAACCAAGATAAAATAAAATTTACCCAAAAAAATTGTTTGGAATCTTTTCCTTTAAATGTTTGAATTTACAAATTTAATACCGAAATTCTATTATATCACATAAGGAAAAAAATAAATAATAAACATTTATTAATATATTAAAATATGTAATTTTTGAATTTCATATAAAAGTAAAAGGTATGATAATTCAAATTTATTTTTAAAATAAAAGTTATGATAAACATTTATTGATTTTCTTTCAAATATATTAATAAAATAAAAATATAAATTTAAACAAATTTTGAAACAACCAAAAAAATCGGATGATTGGCATAAAAAAGGAAGTGAAATCGGATTTGAATGCTAAAATCGGAACACCTTACCAAATTGAATGCTAAAAGATTCGATTTGATTGGTTACCTAATTGCATGGGCTGAAAAAATTCAAAAAAAAATTTACGAATTGAAGAAGCGGGAAAAAAACTATATTGAAGCGGGAAAACGAAATGATTTTTTTCGGATTGTTCAAATATTTTTTTCTTATCCGTATTATATAGTAATAGATATATAGATTAACGAAACTTTTGATAAATTGTAAACATACGCCAATACCTAAAGTGCAATGTACAAAAAACTTATAAAATTGCATATAGGTCCTTACTATTTATCTAATTTCCACACAAAAACCCCACAAATCTCTTCTCCATCTACCATGCCCGTCAGTATTGCTGAGCCGCCGCCGCACATAGAGAAGATGAAGGCGGCGACGGCGGCCGCCTAACGCAACGCCATCTCGTTCAACGACGCCAATAATGGCTAGGAGGTCGGTGGCGGTGAATGAATCTTAGCCCCGAGCCGCCGGCAGTGGCGGTCCTGTCTAGATGGCTCTGGCGATGAATATGGTTGCCGCAACCGTGGTGGTTTTGTCTGCCATGACGGTGGGTATGGCGGCGACTTTCGTGGAGCGGCGGCGGCATCGAAATTTGTCCGGCGTGATGGTGGTTTTGGCCGGGTGATTGTACGCGTGTGTGTAGTGTGTGAGAAGAGGGGTGATGGTGGCTGAGAGTGATGTTGGCGGATGTTGAGTTTGGGGCCTTGTGTCTGGCGGGCAGTGGTCGACGGCGCAGTGCTACCGGCGGTGGTTCGACTGTGTAGTGTGTGTGGTGTGTGTGAGAGAATGTGGGGTGGTGTAGTGACGTGGTGTGGGGAGGGGTGGGGCTGTTGACTTTCGTGGGTAGTGATTTTTACTTGGCAGGTGTATTAATGGGAGTGGGCCCCACCTCTTTGGGTGTGGTTAAAAATTATCACATTGTCCTTAATGAAGATGTAATTTTGGCTTATTTTAATTCGATTTAATGGATATGATGTATTATTATTTTTTTCATTGAGCACCATTCTCACCCGAGCGTGATCATATATATATATATATATCTCTCTTATTCTTATAAGAAAAAATGCCTCCCCTCTCTTGTGACGCCATGTGGCAGCATTGAGCTCTTTGGAAGACACGCTTATGTGTACACGTGCAACTCTTTTCTCACCAGATTTCTTTCTCTTTTCAAACCGTTAAGGCGTTAATTGTATAATGCAAAACGGTGTCGTATGGCATGAACTTTTCATTTACCAAAATGCCCTTCGATCTTTTTTTTATTCAAACAGTAGGTCGGCCGCCTTGCTTGCTAGGAAAGAAAAGACGGTTAAGCAGCTTTTCTTATCTAAATTCTACCCACCCCTCATTTCTTCTCTGCCAAAAATCCCATTTTTCTCTACTGTCTAACCCTAACCATCATCGCCGGCCCTATGTTGATCGAAACAAAATAAAGCGAATTTTGAGATCGTTGGCTAGCAGTGGCGGTGAGCGGTGCTGCGTCTGACGGTCGGTGAAGTCCGCTGGCCCACGGCAGTGATCGGCAGCGGCAGCGGCGACGGCTGCGGCGGCGGCGGCGTGGCTATTGAGAGAGGCACGACTGTGAGTCCCATTGGTAAGTTTTGTTCAGCATAATTTTTATTATTGTTTGCCATTTTGGTATGCGTATTTTCCTGAGTTGTTCTTATGAGCTTAACAGTGGCTGTTGTAATTATTTGATGTTACAGAATATGTAGTCCATGAAATTAGAAAAAATGGTAAGGCTTCTGAATTTTGTTTGCTTCATACTCTATGGGGGATATATGCGTTGTTTTTGCAGTTTGAGTTGAATTATGAATATGCACTCATTTATCTTTTGATTGCAGAGTATAATGATGTTTCAGCCTATTGATTATCTTTGTCAGAGGACACCAAAGCCATAAAGCAGCCTGTAAAAAGAACTATAAACTTTTGCTTTCAGGATTGGTAAAAATACCAGCAGCTCTTCCATTGTCTGACCCACTACATGAGTTTCTATTAGACAGATTGATTAAACTCATATATTCCAGATTTGTCGTGTCAAATTGACACTGGTGTTTCAATAAGTAGAGCAATTATGACTACTAAAAATAGTTGTCTGACCCACTACATGAGTTTCCATTAGACAGACTGATTAAACTCATATATTCCAGATTTGTCGTGTCAAACTGATACTGATGTTTCAATAAGTAGAGCAATTCTGACTACTACAAATAGTTTTGTCGATGAGGTTGATAGTAGGCTCATCACAGAGTTCCCAGGTGAAATGGGCGAGTACCTTAGTTTTTATAAGGTTTTGAATGCATTTCTGCAGACAGAATATGAAGACCTTATAAATTCGTTGACACCGAGCGGCATTCCTGAACATAGCTTGAATCTTAAAGTGAATGCCCCTGTTATGCTGCTGTGAAATTTAGATCCGACAGAGGATCTATGTAATGGTACTCGGTTGGTTTGCAAAAAACTTGATAGGAATGTTATTCATGCGCAGATATCTGTCGACGACTTCGCTGGAAAAAATGTCTTCATACATAGGATACCATTAGAAACCCCCAGCAACGAGCAATACCCCATTCCTTATATATGCACACAGTTTCCACTACATTTGTTTTTACAATGACGATAAACAAGGCACAGGGCCAAACATTAGACAGTGTTGGTATTTAGTTGAGGGAACCAGTTTTTTTCCCATGGTCAACTTTATGTTGCTTTGTCTCGTGCAAGAACAGCTAATTCTGTAAAAATGCTTATTATACCATAGTTCTTTGACGAATGGACACCAAACTTTACCAAAAACATTGTATGTAGTGAAGTTCTGCAGGCTGCTAATATTATTAAAGTAAAAGGCAGCCTATACGATCTATATTCTTATTTATTTTATACAACAATTTAGACATGTTATTACATGTTTGCTTAAGTTTTTTTTTTCTCAAAAAAAAAAAATGTAAACTGTTTTTCCTTATGTGCAAGTTGTTAGTGGAACGAGGCGCCATCTTTAGTAGACATAATATTTCTTGTTTGGGAGTACACATCAAATATGCCACTTTTTATTCTGCCATTCATGATGAAAGTAGAGAAGCCATATTGTGTGTGGCATTGTGATTTCAAGTAAACCCAATTAGTTAATGTGTACTATGTGCTTTAAACACAATTACAGCAACTGGGCATGTTATGCCACTCCCAAAAAGGTATTATAGTTTATTTTAAATTTAGGCTGCCCATGTGGTTATCAATATAGGTTTGCTTTAATAGTTGTGCAGATCGTCGTACTAGGTCAACCTGCTAAACAGCTTCTCAGTATCTGACTATTTCGAGTTGTACTTAATTATACTTTTCCCTACAGATACACTTCTGTCTTTATTAATATGTTCTAACCACTAAGAGCAGTGATTATTTTGCGTACAGTTAAATATGATTTAGTAAGCTGGAGTTTAATGACTAATTTTCACTACATAATCTCCTGATATTGTTATTCTTATGTAGTTCACTTTGCATATAAGCATGAAATTTTTTAAATCCTTCTTTTTCAATATATATAAGTATAACCAACTCATTGAATCTTAATATTTGCAACTGTAGTTGTACAGTGAAGGCTTTACCCACAGGATGAACAACATAAGCTTCTGGCCTTCTTGCCGGTGAATAACTGGTAAGACACATATTGCGAGTCAGNAAAACCGTAGAAACTTTCAAGATTATTTCATACTAAATTTTCACTGTTAGCTGGAATCTGGAACACCTGCTAATGGCTTCTGCATTTTACTTGTTATTGTCAACGTTGGGCCATTTTTTATTTTATTGTTCATTTGGTGCTGCGAAATGAACATACTTTTTCGTGTCAAGGGGTGGACTATGTTTACAGATTGAATGCTTATGTGTGCTGTTTTGAACTTCTATTTTTTCAACCTGTTCACATTGAACAATGGTTTGTGCAGAAGAAAATAATTACTTCTTTCTTATCCTGTCCGGGCTTCCACGCCAGGGAGGCAGTTGAAGCAGTAACAAGTAAGAAACATATAGAGAACACTAACCCTTGTTGTGATAGTTGGTTGTATGAGTACACTACTTTGAGTAGGCTGCCTAATATGGTTTGGGACTAGCATTTTATTGAGGAGGTGAACATTCTTATTTCTTTTTAAGCTTCCCACAATATATTTGGTGTTTTCTTTTTCTAACCACTCAATTCGAGAAGCCTTTTCTTTTACAAGACCAGACTGAAAGTGTCACAATGTGGACGATGGAGTCGGTGAGAAGAAATTGGAATCAAGCAACTCGAGACATGAANGAATGCGTTTGTCCACTTAAAATTTAAAACAAACAAGAGGATGAGTACAACCATGGCACTTGAAGTGAGAGAAGTCAAATAACCACACCACTTTGGATATACCCCTCATTTGTGGTTTTGGGATATAAGATTTTGTAGAATGATCAATTAGTTCAGCTGCGAGACGCGAGAATCCGTCGAGCCCTGTTCGTGTTCGTTTTGTTTTCTGCGTTTTTCCTGAGAACGGTACCTCGTCGTTTTTCCGTCTCGTATATATATTATATAAAAAAAAGAGAGATATAGACAGATAGACACATGTTGGAGAAGATTAAACCAATGAGGCGTTCATAAATTAATCAAATTTAACATGTTTGGCTTTAATTAAGACGCAGAATGATATATGATATGGAAACAAAATAGGCCCAATACAGGCCCAAAAATAAAAAACAATAAATAAGAATAGAGACATAGAGGGAGAGAGAGCGCAGCCGCATTCCCCTTTCATCGATAGTTTTCTTTTTCTTGAATCCGGATTTGCTCAAACCAATCACAAAGACCTAGGCTTCCCGCTGCTTCGGAAAAAGGCGGAGATGTCTGGTTTTTAATTCCTTTATTTGCTTTAGGTAAAACAAAATTGTTTACCATTCAAAGATGGACATGATAAACCAATCCTCTGCTTTAGGTAATGAAATTGTTTACCATTCAAATTCAAAGATGGAGATGATATATCTCTTTTCGAGCGAAAAGGGCTTGCAAGAGGTACAAGAGGATAACGAAATCAATTCAAAGATGGAGATGATAAATCTCTTTTCCAACGAAAAGGGCTTGCAAGAGGTACAAGAGGTAATTTTAGGAATTCTAACAGTTTCCAAAATTTGGACTTATTTTCTTTTTTCTTGATTGAAATAATTTAATTATTTTTGATATTGTTAATAAATTTATGTCTATAAAATATGTATGAAAAAATTGTCCAAATTTAAAGCTATCTAAAATATTATAAGCCTTAATAAATCTTTTAAAAATATTTATATAGTATACAAAAAATAAATATTTAAATGATACCAAAGATTTCAGCTGCATACACTTAATTTATCAATTTTAAAAATACAAATCGATAAACGAAATATATATAGCAAATAAGATGGAATTTTATAGGCAAGTGTGATTAAAGACTAAAATTCAATTAAATGTTGCGTTTTTTCTATATTAACAATTACAGAGTATGTATGTAATGGTTTTTAGCCGGAAATTCTTTATAAATCTGACAAATCTTATTCTCTTTATATCTACCTACATATACATGTACATATAGGTATTAAAAGCACCTAAAAAGTATCATTTATTATTTTTGAAAAATCACTTGTGTAACTTGTTGATTAATGCATTCTTAATGGGTTATCGTGTGTTTGCTTGACAGTGTGTTGAGAGATACCGTGGTGACAATCTTATAAGTAGATTACCCGATGACATTCTCCTTATTATCCTATCTTTCCTCCCATTGAAAGAAGCTGGTCGAACAAGTGTTCTTTCTTCTCGTTGGAGAAACCTGTGGAGTTACATCTCACATCTCAACTTTGATGACTATAGTTCGATGAAGAAGATTATGCGGGCTTCAGAATTTAAGAATATTCTAAATTATAGCAAAAATTAATTTTTTTTTATTACAATTAAGAATTTTATTAAATATAGACTCTCAATCTATGGTGTTAATCAACGTTTAAGTCTAAAAAATTAGGAATTTTTACCTCTTTTAATCAACGTTTAAGTCTAAAAAACAATAGAGTTATTATAAGATTTTTCTACATCTTTTAAAACATTAAATACGAGCATGTTAGGACTAACTTGTAAAATAATTAATATATTATCTCACTAAAATATTTATACTAATAAAAATTTAATTTTAACATATAAATTTATCTCTTGATATAAGATAAAGTAACAGTTTTACTTATTATTGTTCACCATATAATATTTAAGTATTATTTTATTATATAATAAAAAAGAAATATTGTTAAATAATGTAGTAGAATTGTTATAAAATTATATGATTTTTTTTTTACAATATAGATTTAATATTTTTTTATGATTTGATAATATAAACAAATCTATACTTAACTTTGACAAATAAAACAAATAAATACTTTAGTAAGTATTTAATGTATATACTAAATAGGAATATATTTGGTATAATCAAATAGCAAATATAATCAAATAAGTCAAAGTGTACATTTTTATTTGGTATTTGATTTTTTTATTATTGAAATCTTTTTATTATACTTACCTTTTTAAAATAAAACAAATAATAAATTTATTAAATAAATAAAATATTATAATACCAAAATAGTAATGGTATTTAATGCAGTTGACTTTTCTGGATAGTAAATGTACTAAATAGAATCTCCTTTTATATATGTATAGATATGATATTATATTATGCTCCTCAAAATAGTAATGTATTTATTGCATTGACTTTTCAACTTACTAAATTTCGTAAATGGTACACCTTTTTATATAAGTATAGATATATATTATATAAAGCAGCCGTAATCCTTACTTCGTAATCATCGTAGTTTTCTTTTTCTTCTTGCTCTAACCAAAACAACCTCGCTTCAACCTTTAGAAAAACTGTTTACATGGATATGATGAATCAAAAGGGCTTGCAAAAGGTAACTATTTGACAGACTATTTATCTTTTTTCTTGATTTAAATGATTGAATTATTTTACCTGCATGTCGGAATTCTGAATTTTTCTAAATCGTGGCTCATATGAATTTCACAATTTTATATATGTTTTCATATGAATTTCACAATTATATGGATTGATAATTCATATTGACTATATAAGAAATATTTTTCAATATTTTATTAAATTGTTCCAAAACTTGTTTGTATTTTGATAGTTTCTCAAAGATTTTAATTGAAAGATTTTAATTGAATGTGGAAGATTGTTTTAATTTATTGATTTTTGTCTCGTGTTTGCAATTTTTCAGTTTGAATTTTATTAAATTGTTCCAAAACTTGTTCCTATTTTCATAGTTTCTAAAAGATTTTAATTGGATGTGTAACATTGCTTTGATAATTTATTGATTGTTGTCTAATGACGTCGTGTTTTCAAATTTTGAGTTTGAATCTGATATAGCCTGCATCCAACACAATAGTTTAAGTTTATTTTTGAGAATACAAATACTTTATGAATAGTTATTGAAAAATCACATGCATAACTAACTTGTTGATTATTGCATTCTTAATGGTTTATCCTGTGTTTGCTTGGCAGTGTGTTAAGAGATACCATGGTGATAATCTTATAAGTCGATTACCCGATGACATTCTCCTTGCTATCCTATCTTTCCTCCCATTGAAAGAAGTTGGGCGAACAAGTGTTCTTTCATCTCGTTGGAAAAACCTGTGGAGTTACATCTCACATCTCAACTTTGATGACTATAGTTCGATGGAGAAGATTATGCGGGCTTCAGAATTTCACACTGTCAGTGTTGAGAGGGAAAAGTATGTAAAGTGGGTGGATTCGGTTCTCCAATCACACCGAGGCTCCACCGTGAAAGAATTAAGAATATGCTTTAGTTTAGTCAAATCAGCCACAAATTCAATTACCAAGTGGCTTGAATTTGCTTTTGAGAGGCACACCGAAAAGTTGGAGTTGAACCTTTCAGAAGGTGACTTGATTCATGCCCAAGATAAAACGTACGTGTTTCCTCAAGAGTTATGCAGTTCAGACGGTCCTTACAAATCTAGTAGACTTTTCAACTGTAAGTCCATAAAAATGTTGTCCTTGGGCTGTATTCAAGTCTCTGGTGAAACTATTGAGTTTTTCTTACGTGGCTGCCCACTGCTCGAGCAGTTAAATGTCCGTGCCTCCAAATATTTGACACGTCTTGAAGTTTGCGGACCATCCCTTGTATTAAAGCATTTGGAGATATGGGATTGCACTTATTTAAAATCCTTAAGAATTTCTGCTCCGAAACTATCTTCACTTAGACTTGATAAAATAGAAGGCCTCTTGCTTGAGGACGTTCCAATGCTTGCTAGTGTTTATGTGACCTACGCGGATTCTTTGATTCCTTCTATATATGTAGAGAGATTAATTTCTACATTACTTTGCCGTCTTTCCCAATTGGAGATTCTCACCTTTGACATTTATTGTCGGAAGGTAAGGTGTCTTTCTACATTGGTTTATTTTTCACTTAATGAAGCTTAGTGATTGTAAAGTAAATATAAAATTTGATAATGGAGCCCTATTGTTGATTTGACAATCATCACGTGGTTAAATTTGGTGGGTCATATAATACACAAATGATTGTCAAATTAACTGTACTAACATGAAATTATTTTGAAAATGTTATATATTGGAACAACAACAACAACATAGCCTTTAGTCCCAAGCAAGTTGGGGTAGACTAGAGATGAAACTCAAGAGAAACACATAAAGACTCGAACCAAAAGGAAGAGATCGAAAAAAAAAAAAATTATTTATTTGTTATTGCAGGAGCTTTTATTGATGCTCAAATTCCCCCTGATGCCTAAACTTAAGAAGTTGGTCATCATTGAAGGTTTACGTGGTGTGGACTCGAGTCTTCTCGGCCTAGCTAATTTTATCACTGCATCTCCCAACCTGCAAGAATTTGAGTTAAAGGTTGGTCTTTGTAAATATTATCCCTCCTATCTCCTCATCATTGAATGGCTTTACTACCTGTATTTGTTGTCGTATATTATTTATGGGTACGTGTTAACTTAGTATATGAAGCATCTCCAATGGGAACTGGAGAAAAATTAGATACATATATACACCGTCTTTATATTATTTTCTCCAATGCATTATTTTGTAGGCGATGTTATGCTGACATGGCGATAACATCGTCAACCCTACTGTCTGAAAGTTTGTTAAACAGGACACCTCATCACGCCAAATGACTAAAAAATGAGAAAAAGCCATCAATATTATTTATTTTATATTTTAGATGAAAATCATCCTTTTAAATTCAAAATAATTATTCTATATGTTGCAATTAAAATTTTAATTTTAATATTTGTTTTAGTAATTACTCCTTCGACATTTTAAAAAACTAAACTATTTTATTGTTTATTTTATTTCGTGGAGATAAAAGTAAAACTAAACTACTTTATTGTTTATTGTATTTCGTGGAGATAAAAGCCAATTTCTTTTAATTCGAAACAACGCCTGTAATTAAAATATTAATATTTTTTCTTCTTCTCAATTTTAGGTGTTACACACATTCACTCCATTTTATTATTTATTTGCTTTTATTATAAAAAAATAATATTTTTTTTAGTAATTACACTTTGAACATTTAAAAAGCTACACTACTTATTATTTATTTTATTTCGTTGAGATAAAACCAGTTTTTTTAATTCGAAACAATTAATTGTGTGTCTGTAATTAAAATTTTAATATTTTTTTTTCTCAAAAAATGAGGTGTGGCACACATTTTCTCACTTTTATTATTTATTTGATTTTATTATAAAAAATTTTAATATTTTTTTACACTTTCAACATTTAAAAAACTAAACTACATAATTATTTATTTTATTTCGTGGAGATAAAAGCCATTTTTCTTTTAATTTGAAACACGTAATCATAATTAAAATTTCAATATTTTATTTTGTATATTTTAAAATAAATATATGGACAGTGCATGAATGAAATTGTGCATTGGAGATGATAATCGACCATTATTATTTTATCTGTGGACAGTGTTTTCTTATGAATTAACAGTCCAATTATTTACTAAAATTTTAATGTTGACGATTGAGGCATTGGAGATGCTCTTAGTATATTAACTTATTTTATATTCACTTGTATGGGCAGCAAAGGTGGCATAAAGTTGAAAGGTCAAACAACGAGATTCAAAAGGAATTGAAGCACTCCCCACTGCACCAGCATCTGAATGTTTTTCGTTTTTTAGGTTATTATGGTTGCCCGAGTGACGTTGAATTAGTCAACTACTTGTTGGAGAACTGTGTCGCGCTTAAGGAAATCATTGTTGATACCCAAACTCAGCTACGTTTGGCCTACGATCCACTTGATTCTGAACAATTAGAATTGGCTGAAATAGCAAAGGGTCACGCCAAACAGTAGCTGGAGCCGCTAGTACCTAACCACATTAGCTTATTTATATGCTAACCATTTTTGTGCTTAATACTCTTGTTTTCTTGGTAATTTATGCTAGAACCTGGTGTGATTTATTCTCTGTCTTGTGTGTATTATTATGTTCTCATCCCATTCTTCATGTTAGTGAGTAGATTTATTTCCTTCACTGTTCTCGCTCGTGTAAAATTTTTAGCAAGCTTTTTTGTTTACTTCATTTTTCTTGCTCGTGAGCGATTTAGTAATAAGTATTGTTTACGTTGTGTTTGGCCATGAACCGAAAGCCAAATTGTTCCTAAAATTAACAACTTTTTGGCGAATTGCAATATTAAATGACTTGTTTTCATTCAAAATTAAATTTCTTTTATTTTCATAATTCAAAATGATTTTTATTTTCTTTCTTGTGTGTGTCTAATTCTGGTTTCATGAAATTATTTAAACTTACATTAACACCTCTTAATAAGCCGAAGTATGAGTTTGTTGGGTAAAACTAATTGATTAATAAGTTGATAGTCTATAAGTGAATTTTGATATTATAACTGATGGGTTAATATAACTTATGTCTTAAAAACTAGTTGATATGATGAAAGTGTTTGGTAAAAATAGATGTTAAGCCAATTGAAATAAGAATTTCAACGGACTTATTTGAATAGGTACTCAAACAAGCTTATTAGACAAGATCGAGCTTTTTCAAAAGCTCGTTATATCAAACTAAACTTATTATGTATATAGAAAATTTATAAGCTAACAAAATTAGCTATAAACTAGCTTATTGCTTACCAAATACACTTTTAATCTAAAACTTAATTTCATGATCTTCAAGGAGAGAGCGTTATACAACGAAATTAGACAATCAACCTCTAAATTGTATCTTACCAAACAAACTTGAAATATATTATTTTTGTTATCAAAATTTAACATTATCCAATGATAAAAATTAGACAATCAATCTTTGAATTGCATCTTACACAATCAATCTCTAAATTGCATCTTACCAATCAATGTTTTTAACCAAGTTTGAGAATCGACCCGAGCAGGCTTCTAATAATTGGTTCAATTGTAGTTAATTGTTGAACTGAATAATAAATTTTAAAATTTTAAAATTATGTATATAGTATTTTTATTATAAACAAAGAAAATGAAAAAATAATTATTGAAAAATTAGAATGCAAATTCACTGTATTTAATTATCTGTAAAATTTAGATTTATATTGACTAATTATATCTTGTGTTTGAATTTGTATACATAGGAACAAATTAATCTTAAAATTTATTTTCGTGGGAATTAGAGTGCAAGTTCCTAATGCATAATTATATGTAAATTTATTTATTTTCTTGTAAAAAAATTATAATTATTAAGTTAATGGTAGATAAGATAAAAGTTGATAAATTTTATTTCTACGAAATTAATGTAGTTGTTTAGGAAAAATATTTTTCTCTAAGCTATTTCACTTTTATATATGTATGTATATATACACACTCATATATACATATACAAATATGTTAACTATGATAATGTTATGACATATAAAATGCATAATTTGGGGCATTGTATAAATTATTTTTTTTTNGTATCTCAATAATTATGTTATTAACAAAGAAAGAAAAAATATAATTAATACTACCTCCTATTATTTTTAAATGTCATTTTGGCTTTATCAACCATTAACCAAATAAATGACGTTTTGGATAATTTGTACATATTTTTCAATTATTACTCTCATTTAGCTAATAAATAAACTACATCTTTTCATATTCATTCTTCAGCTTTTCTCAAAACATCCACCTCTATCTTCATTAATGAGGGTTATTATTGAAAAAAAAAATCTTAATTACTGTTCAACTTCTCAGAACTACACTTATTATGAATAGGAAGGAGTAGAAGTTAGAATACAACTTTACACTAAATAATGATTTATAAAATAAGTTTTTGTAACGAATAATTATATTTTTTTTGCTTAAATTATCTCCCTTGGAACTAACAATCTTATTTTAACATTTATTTGACCCTAGGAATTAGAGTGCAAGTTCCCAATGAATAGTTATATATAAATTTATTTATTTTATTTATTTATAATATATATATATATATTAAATATTATAATTATTATTCTAATGATAAATCTACATAGGTAAGAGATCATATGAGAATGACTCTTAATGCGAGAAATGAGAATGAACCTAGATCATTGGATCCACTACTTCAATGGTCATGACGAAGTCAAAATTAATTAAAAATAGTCAATCATTAATGGCATTCTGGTATTTGATCATAAATTAATCATGCTACTTGCTAGGTGTTCCCATGATTTATGGGTTCTTAAAATTAAGGAGTTAATTTCAAGAATATAAATTAATTAGATTAATTTAAATTACAAACGACTTGTAAACTCACTACTAGTGTTAATCGTGAACCTAAAAGGGTCACACCAAATTTTGGATGATGACTATTTTGAAATTGGTATTTTCAATAGTTGGATTAATTGACAAAATTTAATTAAATAATTAGATTATTTAATTAAATCTAATTTTAATTAGATGTCAATTAAAGGAATAAAATAAATTAATCAATTGGATTTGATTAATTAGGCTTTGGATATTAATTAAGTAATTATTAAAATTACTAAATTGATAGTTAGATTTTAAAATTGGATTTTAAAATTCAAATCCAAATAATAATATGATTATAAAAAGAGGAGATTTTATTCTATTGGGTGATAATGATATTTTAACAAATAGTATTGAAAATGTTTCATAAATTATTTGCTATTATTAATCTTTAATTTAGATTAAAGATTAAATATTAATAAAAATAAAATAATTATGGTAGATGGGAGTTGTTACCCACTCTACTTATTTATTTTTATTTTTATTATTAATAAATTTGGGTAGGAATAGTCTTGCCAAGACTTCATTTTTATATGAAAATGGTTGTACCCAATATTACATTTTTATACATAAACTTTTAGTGTAAATACATACATATATGATGTATGAATGTAATGAATTGAAATCTTGCATTTTGAGAAATGAAAGAGAAATTGTCTTGCACTTTGAGAAAGTGAAGATAAGAAAAATTATCTCCCATAATAAAAAATTTAATTAAAATTCTCCTCTTTAATTAAATTCCTATACTAAATGAAAACTGAGAAATTTCTACTAGCGAAGAAATTGTTCTCGGAGTCAGAATCCAAATAGGTGGACTCGATTAGAGGGGAGACACTTGGATCCCTTATGGAGTAAGAAGACGGTGATAGCCACATAACCGGGAATTGATTTCCTCTTCATCGTCGCTATTTGAAGAAAATTAAAGATAATTTTTGAAATTCTCTTCAAATCAAAATTCGTATTTTTACATGATTTTAAAAATGTCAATCATTTTATTCGCTATATATACTTACGGATTAAGTATTTATTTGATAAATGATAATCATATTATATATTTTCCGCTGCGATTTTAATTCGTATAGTATAGCGAACCCAACAATTGGTTAGTTTAGTTGCGAGTGTTTTTACTCTATCGTTGCTAGTCAGGATTCTAGGCGGTCTTCTGACATGTCCTCTCACTTTTTCAGCTGTTGGTTGTTCCATTCAGCTAAGGGTTGTTTGTATTCGCACAATTGTGCATTTTGATTATAACTAGTACAGAGCCCGTGCGATGCACGGGGTGCACAATTTTAAGGCTATTTATCCAGACTTATAATTATATACATGAATAAAGAAAAATGTACGGGATATATATAGTACGTGCGAACCACGAGATATATTTATTTGGAGAATATTATATTATAAGATGCAATATTCAATAAAAGTTTATAATACGCAAAAAATTGTACAATGTTCAATAAAAGTTTTATAATATTCAAGTGGAGTCTTAAAGTCTCTTGTACATTAAAACTACTGACAAAATAATATTTTAATCAATGAGTTTCCTTTCCTTGTAGCCAAATTGTGAATGTGATTTGAGGAGTACAACAAATCGATATATAGCTGACTTGCTTTTTTCATTGTAGTTTTTTTTTTCTTTTTTTATAATGAATTTAAAGATATTCTGAAATATAGCAAAAATTAATTTTTTTTATTACAATTATGAATTTTACTAAACATAAACTCTCAATCTATGGTGTTAATCAACGTTTAAGTCTAAAAAATTAGGAATTTTTACCTCTTTTAATCAACGTTTAAGTCTAAAAAACAATAGAGTTATTATAAGTTTTTTTTCTACATCTTTTAAAACATTAAATATGAGCATGTTAGGGCTAGCTTGTAAAATAATTAATATATTATCTCACTAAAACATTTATACTAATAAAAATTTAATTTTAGCATATAAATTTATCCCTTGATATAAGAGAAAGTAACAGTTTTATTTATTGTTGTTCACCATATAATATTTAATTGTTATTTTACTATATAATAAAAAAAGAATATTGTTAAATAGTTTAGTAGAATTGTTATAAAATTATATGATTTTCTTTTTTTTCACAATATGGATTTAATATTTTTTTATGATTTGATAATATAAACAAATCTATACTTAACTTTGACAAATAAAATAAATAAATACTTTAGTAAGTATTTAATGTATATACTAAATATGAATATATTTGGTATAATCAAATACCAAATATAATCAAATAAGTCAAAGTGTACATTTTTATTTGGTATTTGATTTTTTTATTATTAAAATCTTGTTTATTATATTTACCTTTTTAAAATAAAACAAATAAATAAATTAATTAAATAAATAAAATATTATAATACCAAAATAGTAATGACATTTAATGCAGTTGACTTTTCTGGATAATAAATGTAGTAAATAAAATATCTTTTTATATAATATAATACAAAAATAATAATGCAATAAATGCGGTTGACTTTTCTGGTTACTTAATTTGATAAATAGGACCCGCTTTAATATAAGTATAGATAATATCTATCGTTTTGGAAAAAAAAAATGAAAACATCATACAAATTCAACCGTTGATGAAGGTTGGGCAAATGTAATACGCTCCCCTTTACCAGTTCTTACACACACATATAAAAAAGCGTAATTAATCAGGGAAGAAGAAAGTATTAACACAACATCTATGTACTTTGGAAACTTCATGCTGCCTGTTCTTCCGTTGCCCTTTTCCTTTCTTCTTCCTCTGCTTTCATCCATGCGGCCTTAAACAGAGAACAACACACGATCACATCAATAAAAACAAATAAATTTATCGAAAATGAGATTTCATCAAGTAAAAAGAATGAAGAATGAATTGAATAATATCTTGCCTTGTCTCTTTGAAGTCTTGTAACATGAGGCCTCATCGAATTTCCTAAGCTCAATCCACCCCATGCTGCCTGAAGTTCTCTCTCCCGAGCCTCTCTGCGCGAAACAGAATGTCTCGTGTTGTTTTCCCCTTCTTTACTCTGTTGCTCGTCAACACAAACCTGTATTTTTTCTCTCTCTAACCTCGACTTGTGCTTGACGAGAACTTGGTCCAAACTGCCTTCACTACTCTCAGCTTTACTCTTGGGTTTTATTATCCTCATTTCCTCATCCCCACAAAAACTCAGCTTTTCCTTTTGCAGCTTCGACACGTGCTTTTTTACCAAAACTTTATCAAGACTCTCGCCATAACTCGAAAAGTCTCCTTCTTTACGACGAACCTTAGAGCCCGTGTCCTTATTTTCGGTTTTGTTCGTGTCCACATTCTCTTTCCCGTTTTTCTCAGTCGAAAAAGATGCAGTCTTTTCGCCATTCTTTGCTTCTTCCACTTCTCTCTCGAGCCTTGTTAGGTGTTTGACGAGATACTTATCCAAGCTGGGAAGAACCTCACTGAAATCTTGGTTCACACGCGGGCCCCTTTGAATCTTCCTGTTGTCGCCTGTTTTTGCTCCTTCAACCTCTTTCTCGAGCTTCGAGGCATGTTTCACAAGAACACTTCCTAAATCTGGAACCTTTTCATCACTGCTTATAATTAATTTCTTTTCATCTTCAGCTTTTTTTCGGGCGTTCTTCGCTTCCAGCACATCCCTTTCGAGCCTCGTCAGCCGCTTAACAAGAAATTTGTCTAAACTAGGAATTTCAGCATCAGACGAAGAAGAAAAACTCCTCCTCCCACCTAATGACATTCTGCTTTGGGCCTTAAGACGAGAATTCTCGGCATTCTCAGTGGAAGAAGAAGAAGAAGAGCTTGACAAAGAATACCTTTTGCTGCTATTATTATTAATATTTCCCTTCTCAGACAAAGCTGCATTTAGACCCCTGGTAGCAACTATGGTAGCCAGAGAAGAAAGTTCTTCCTCTTTTAAGCAACGAAGCCTAACGAGCATCATGTCCACAATAATACCCGGTTCACAACAATCTGCAGTAAAATCCGACATGTTCAAATTCTCATCATTTTCCGGATTTTCACTGATTTTACGCAGCAAGTCTTTGAATTCTTCCTTGTTTATGGACGACGGGCAACTGGCGAGCTTAATAAAAGCATCTTTGACTGCAGCAGCTACTTGCTTGTCGATTTCGAATGCGGTCTCGAAAGTTTCCAAGACACTGTGTGAGGTGGTGGGCCCACCTGATGTCTCGATTTTATAGTGGTTGTTCTGTGCATCGTCCATTATGATGACCCCGAGAGCTCGTGCAGCCTCAGAAGCTTCGGATGCGGATTTTTCTGCTTTTGCCAGCTGGGCTTCGGCTTCTTTGCTTTCGATCCTTTTGCATGTCGCAAAATAATCAATGTTAGAGGGAGGGGCATATAGTGTTTGAATACACAGATTTTACAATTTTTTGTTTGGTTAGTCAACATTAATCTCTGAGGATGTGAATGAATGAAAACAAAAAGTTTCACAAAAACTAAAATTCATTTCTTTCCATTTTTTTGCTCTATAATCCTCCCACATACAAAATCAGAAAATTAAATCGATCATTATTATATATTTTAAATAAAAATATCAGATTTAATGGCATTTCCTATATCATATCAACTAAAATATTTCATTTTTATCGTATATTCATTCTCACAATCTAAAAAATGTTTTGGTTTTTCTTTATAACAACCTTTTCCACTTTTTCATCTCTACTTTCGGCCTACACAAAAACTATCAAAAAGTTTCAAATATCCTCACTACACCTCAGTGCTTCAAATATCCTAACTACTTTTTTTCAAAGCCAGAAGCAAACAAAACTAGAGTTATATACTTTATACGAACTTACACGGAAAATGATTATACCAAAAGAAAAATAAGTACTATAAACATATTTATCCATAAATACCTGGCTGCTTGAAGTATACGACACCAAGATGCTTCCACCATGGCAGATTTTCGAGCCTCCATAGCTTTCTCTGCAGCCTCTCTTATTGCAATCTTTTCTCTAAGTACTCGCGAGTAGTGTGGATTTGAATCACCAAGAGTCTCATCCAGAGTTGATTGCATCCCGTCCACTTCCTATTTTACAAATCGTTCGCATTAGACCTTTGTGTAATAACAAACCCGGAACTTTATCCGCAATTGGATAAGATTTAATGTCATATTCATATACCTGAAGCATTTTTATTTTCCTCTTCAAATAAGGCTCCACTTTTTTCCTTGGGAACCAATTTACAGGTGAGGTTTTGCGACGAGGGGGCTTCGAGATTTGGGATGTGATTTTGGTCAAAGCATTCAAGCTAGAACGGACAGCGTCCTTTGTTTTACTCTTCTGTACTTCACCACAATGTAGTTAGCGGATTAAGATGCAAATGATAAATACACATTTTATCGGGGAAATATATGATACAATGGCGAAAGTGAAAAACCAAACGCAACATTGAGTTAAAAAAGAAAAGAAGTGCTCGATTCAAAATATAAACGATTGTTTGATTATTCTTCAACATCATCAAACCCTTATGAATCTCAAATCGACATACTTGCTTGAAACAATCTCGTGTGGATTTCAAAATTTTATTTCATACTCAAGCACACCAAGACAAAAGAATACCAAAAAACTAAAAAATGTGCATTTTAGGACAACCCTTGTGCAAATTCATGTGCAATGTTCTCCAAGAATTCTAACTCTTAACTCAGCAGAGATCCATTTAGCTAAAAAAATCATGGGTTTGGTGCATGACCAATTCAGTTAGAGCTGACAAGAATAATACCCAAAACTCAAGGAAGTTATCTTTGTTGGATTTAATCTGTTCAACCCATCCAGAAGCTAACCATGTTTTATATGAATGAAAAAATCAAGGCCTCCTCACGCACACAAGGAGAGACAGAGAGATGTTGTGCAATCGGTTATAATAGAATCTCAACTGCGTTTAGATAGTGATTAAATAAACTGCATTTATGTTTCATAGAATTGGGTACAGACAATAGGTGACTAAAAATATGGCTTTTGTTTCATAGACTAAACAGCGAACACTATGTTTGCATTCCCCAGTCATCCTATCAAGAAGATTCAAGTTCCAGAACAATAACTCTATTTCTTCAAACTAACACGAAAAAGAAAAATTGAAAAACTCGAGACTATCAGAATTCAGACAAGTAAAGGAAACAATCATCCCAATGTTACGAAAACGAGACGAAACAAATTTATTCACAAGAACTGAACAAAAATCGTACCTTTGCAGACTTTGAAGCAGAGATAGGAGCCTCTTTTGGGCTGGTGTCTTTCTCACAGGATGCTTCTTTTCTTGGTTTCTCAACGCAACCCATATCAATGCAGCCAAGATCCATGTTATTTTCCAAAGAAAAACCAAAATTTTGTAATCTATAAAAAGGTTTTCTTGATTTAATTTCTCCGAGGGGTTGCGTGGGCGATGAACATAAAACGCAACAAGGCGTAGATGGCCCAGAAAATTTGATGAAGCGAAAAATTGAAATCCGCAGAAAGTTCTTCACAAATTGATCAGTTACTGGTGGGAGAAGGAGACGAGAGTGATTCTTGGTAAATGACTGTTGTTATCAGATCGGATTTTGATTTCTATTTCTTTTTTCATAAGTGAGAAAAAACTATCCGTTGGAGGGCGAATATATTGGTCTCCAACGGTCAAATGTGGGGCTCGCTTCAACGCCATTGGACCCATTTTGAGGGTTTCCGTTTTCGCTTTTAATTTTATCATATTATTTAATCATGTATTTTTTTTATTTTTTTTTAAGTTGACTTCAATTGAGAAGATGAGAAAAATGACAATTGGGTAAGGGCGTGCTTGGATACTTGCATCCGCTTAAAATGAGGTTTTGGAGATAATTATAGTTAATTTTAAAAGATGGTATAATTTATGCAAATATAATCAATATTTTCAAAAAAAAAAAAATAAATAAATAAATAAATCAAATTTACCTAAAGGATCCTTTTCTTTTTCTAATAAATTATGTACATTTTCATCTAAAAAATTATGTTTGATTTATTTTCAGTATAAAAACCACAAACATTATCAAACGTTACTTAAATTTATATTTGAGGTGTTCATTCATACATAATTTAGGAACTCGAATAATTCATTATTGTTATTTTAAAATGGCAATCCATCAGCTATTATTTTTAGTTAATTTCCAATAAAATTAAACCATTTTTCAAGGCATAAAGTTCAGTCATAAGGGTTTTTGAGAATTTTGAAGAAAAGGGCATGTTTAGTACTATTTTGGCCTTGAAATGTTGCTTGAATGGTTGAGCCTTGCTCTTTTGTTTTGTTGCTGAGTTTAGGCTCGTGAACCAGAGGTTTAGAAATCATTTTGAAAGCCTCAAAGAGTCTATAGGATTTTATAGCAAGAAAAGCATGTTTGTGTTTCATTTTGCCTGCTTTGTGTTGAATGTGTTGTTTTGTGCTGTGACTTTGCCTAATTTTGCTGAGCTTGTTATTTGATTATTCATGCTGTTTTATGTGATTATTACTGGAGTTTTTGAGTTCGGTTTGTGGCCTTTTGAGTTGTCTATGAGTTTAAGATAGAGAAAAAAGAAAAAGAAAAAAAAAAGAGGGAGAGTTGCATGTTGCTTTGGAAGTGTTGTTGCCTTATGTCTTGAGTGTTGTCATGCGTTTTTATTGTTGTAGTGTGTTAGTTTCAGAGATCAAGTTTCCGTTGTTAGGCCTTGGAAAGGTTTTGTTTGATTTTGAGAAAAGAGAAGAAAAGAGAAGGACATTGTCTTGTTTTGGCCTCAAGTTGCCGTATTCTGCTGTATGTTCGAAAGCTGTTTTGAACCCCGAACTTTAGCTGTTTGTATTTTAACTCTTTATATAACTTGAAATACGAACACCGCGCAAGCAGTTTTCTGTAAGGTTGACAGCAAAATTGTTGTTTAAGTTTGACTAGTTTTCATCCATGTAACTTGCTTGAAAGCGTTCAAGGTCTTCACGAGAAACTAGTGTGTAGCCCGTGCTATGCACGGGTAAATAATACTAATAATCCCAACCTTCAGCGAGTAGGTTCCCCGCCTTTGGTTCTGGGAGTTTGGTTAGAGCATGATATTATTGGAATGTCGTATCCCCGTCGAGTCCTAATATAGGCTTATGGCCTCTTTCATTGTACCAAAAAAAATAATAATAATACTAATAATAATTATAAATTAAATATTAGGATAAGCAATATTAACTATAATTATAAATTAAAGATGTGGGGTTACATGTGATAAAATTTATTTTATATAGTCTATTGTAACAATATAAAATTATCTTATATAAAGGACATAAAAAAATTAATGTCTAAAATATTAAAATTGAGAGAAGATTTACATATTATATATAAAATAAATATTGAGATGATACCGAAAAGTATTTCGTCATCAATTTGAGTATAAAATAAACGGAGGCTTAATAACTCCATGCTTTATGCATATGCTTCATTTATCAATTTTATATAATAATTTTAAAATCTCATTATCAAAATTTGTATTCAAATGTATAAAATAAACGGAGACTTAACAATTCTACGGTGCATAAACTTCATTTATCAATTTTATGTAATGATTTTAAAATCTCGTTGTTATTAAGATTTTTATTCAAACACGTATCAACAAACTACAAACCTTTGAGATTTATGATGAAATACGAATAAATGATTTCTTTATAAAAGAAATCCGTATTTATTTGTTTTTGAAAATCAATGCAAACTCACAGAGAGTTTTTGTTCTTAACAAACTAATACAATTCTAATTAAATCATATTATTCCAATTTGAATTTCATGATGGTTTTAAAATTTGTACACGTGGTCATGATCTATATCAAGTAAACAATCCCCATAATTTTAGAAATCAGTATTTATCTGTTTTTGAAAATCAATGCAAATTGCTTGATAGTTTGTTTTCTAAGAAACTCCTATAGTTCTAATTAAATTATTCAATTCAATTTGAGTACGAATTTAAGTTTCAATTTGAAAATGAATTTAAAAATCTGTACACGTGTTGATAGTCTTTCAAGTAAACATAGTCCCAATTTTATTTTTTCTGTTATTAAGTTTTTTATTCCAACAAATGATGTGGTGAAGATTTATTAAGTGAGTACCTATGATGTATGGATTAATATCCAATATTGTAGCATACATTTTTTTAATTGCATAAATATAATTGTGTGTTTTTTTCTTTGCATGGACGGTATAATTAGTGCAAGTTAATTAAATGAAGTTAATTTTTTAATAGAATTCATTTAAGTTTTTTTTTTTTTTACTAAAATGAATGATGCAAACTCGTACCATTTTAAATTCTTCACAATTTGAATTACTCCTTAACTTTTGAATACTACTAAATTTCATGTCTATCATTATTTATGCGGGCAATTTTGTAGAAAAGTTATTAGGAAAATGTTAACATTTGAATTTGAATTAAAGATTTGCATGAAAATTATTAGAAAATTGTGAACAAATTTGAATTAAAGATTTTTTTATTTTATTTTTTTTCTGTTTTTCCTATAAATTTGTTAAAGCAACCCTATTTTATTTAAACTTCTATCCCTTCCTTATTTAGAAATTTTGAAATTTGTTTTGATTGCTATATTTAGTAAATAGTGATTCTTTTTATATAAGTACAGATATAGTTTTGTCTCTTAACTTTCCATACTTTCAAATATCAATCCAAAATATTTTCAACATAAAAATGGATGATCCACCCATTTTCTCTTGAAATTTTCAAATATATATTTTTCATAATTAGGAAAAGGGAAAAAAACATTTCACCATTTTTAAACCACGCATATCCAATCATTACTGTGAGTAGATCAACTTTTAACATATAAATATTTTTGTCTGACTCACCAATAACAACAATATAACAATCTAACATCCTTGAGATTATACAAATTTCAATAGAAAATCCATCACATTTGAATTGTCTTATCAAGACTCGGACCATAGTCATACGGTCAAATGTAATCTTGTTTCTATGAAACTTATGTTATGTTGAGTGTGTCCATTTCAACCTCAAATCTATCAACTTTGTTTGTGAACGTGCAGAATGGAGCTTTTTTTTTTTTTTTTTAAATTTTATTTTAACATTACTATTAGCAAAAAAATGTATTACCAATATATAAGCCAATAATATATCTATTTTACTTCTCTTTCCATTGTCCGTAATTTCTCAGCACCTATATTTTTGTTCTTTGTGAAATAATTACCATGTTTTATTTTTTTTCTTTTCTTTTTTTCCAAATTGTGCATGCACTTTTTAGAGGGTACAGTACAATGTGTAACCAGTTGCTTTAAAAGTGAATCCAATTAACATTCTTTACCAGCATATGATTAATAGTCATATTTGGGACATGCGGATTTTGACAGATCTGGGCGAATTTACGTTGATTAATAGGGGATAATTGCCCCCTTAAATTTTAATTTTTTTACTATTAATATTAAAATTTTTAATTTGCTCCCCCTTTAAATTTATTTTTGCACCTCCATATTTTTTTTTAAACGTTAGACTAATTTATCCATAATTGTCAATTAACAATTCAACACTTCTTTTATTTTACTATTAATTTTGTATATTAATTATAATCATTCTATAATTTTAATTTGCCCATATAAAATACTTCAACTCTCTTTTGACTTCACCTAGGGCTGATATTTTTTGACTGAAAATCGAAAACCGAATCGAACCGAACCGATGAGAAAATAAATTGAACCGAACCGACTTATGTTTAACGGTAACCGAAAATCGATTACCGAATTGTTATCGGTTCGCTATCGATCTGAACCCATTATGTCATGTCTTTTGCCCCCTCTCAACTAATTTTCTGGTTTGTGGAAAGGATTTCAAAGTTTTCCACAAAATATAATGAAACGAGATGAGCGAAACCCAAACACAATTCTAGCTTTTTACGACAAAAAATGAGTATTCAAAGTGGTTCAAATCCCAAACTCTCACAAAAACGTGTATGTTATTCCTCACATCATGTAAACTGCTTATGGGAAATAATAATCCATATATATACCTTTTCAATTGAAGTTTCTGGTGTCATTACGTACATTTACAAGTTTCCCAAATTATCAACTCGGCAGCTCATAAACTACGGCCTGTCAACATAGAAAATGAAAAAATATAATAAAATACATTTTTGGTAACAACGTGTTGTGATTGGTTGAAGAATTGAATTTTTTCAGTGAAAAATGCTACAAGTACATAATAAATGTATATAGAGATGTACATAACACTCACATGGAGTGTTATCTATTTGATTTTTTTATTTTTGGTAGGACCCACTTAATGTGAGTGTTATGTACACATTTATATATAATATTATGTACCTATAGCATTTCTCATTTCAGTTTATGATTTTGTGTGTTGTCATATTCTTGAATCGTATAGAAATGTAAAATTGCTGATGATTTTGTGTTGATTATTATGTCTGGTCACGTCCAAATTCTCCACAGTTACGGTCTCAATTCTTTTGTTTTTTTTTTTTGTTTTTCTTTTTTTTAAAAAAAAATATATATAAATTTTTTAAAATACCCTTAAAAATCATTTTTTTTTAGTTAAAACCACTTTTATTTTCGGTTTAGGAGTATTTTGACAAATCCGTGTAGTTTAGGTGGTTGTTTGTAAGAAAAAATAAGTTTATATAGTGATGCACAAAAATTGTTATAGTTT